CTGGTTAATGTTTAACTTTGATCAACTCCCCCACACCTTGAGCCTCAGCTTCTTATCCATGAAATGTGGATTGGGCTGGGAAAATCCCTTCCCCCTAATCCTCCCTTACTCATGAGGCTGCCAAAGAAGCCCTGCCCTGCTCACAGGATACCAGGTTGCACACACACAGGGTCGCGAGCCTAGGGCCCCCAAGGACATCTGCGGAGCTGGGTGAAACCCCCATAGCCACACTCAAATAGGAGCAAGCAATACTTGAGCTACTGTCTCTCAATGGGCAAGAGACAAATTTGGAAGAATGGTCCATAGCAGCTAATGGTGATTTCTCCTGTAATAGGCTGCACTGCTCACTCTAGCAATGAATATTTAACAGGAAAATATGTCATCAGGATGAGGCCCCTCCAGCCAGAAAATTAATATTAATGAGGCAAAAACAGAGCCTCCTTTGAACACTTGGAGAGCCAGTGAGCTATTTGGGGCAGTTCTCTCTCCAGCCCAGGTCACCTGTGCCCCTGACCCCCACATTTCCTGGCTGATATGCAGAGGGATTGACAGGTCAGTCCCAGGGGCCTTGGGACAGCATGAGGAGCCAGCAAGGCCAGCAGGAGGAGGGGCATTGTCCCAAGGCCCCCAGGGAGTGATAAGAACCAACTGGCATCTTAGGGAAGAATCTGCAGATGGAAGGTGGTGATGGCTGCTGTGCCCCTCTAATTAGAAACCAGACTAGGTCTTAGCAAGGGCCCAGGGGCGTCTGATGTGAAGAAACAGCTTAGGAAATGGGAGGTCTCTCCCAGACTTCTACGCAGCTCTGGGCAGGGAAGAGAGGAGCCTGTGCCCAGCCCAGCTCCAGCTGATGCACTCCAGGACTGGCCCAGGCCAGGCGGCCTCTGAGACAAGAGGACTGGTGGCTGGAAGGCAGCGCTCAGCACCATCACCCAGTCCTAAGAGCTCTCTCCCTGCTGTCTCTGTCCCAGATCCTAAGGAGCCACCCAGGGCTGCCAGGCACAGTGCCAACCACAGAAAGTGGCACCACTTTCTGAGAAAGTTCTGTGCCCTCTGTGTGCTGGGCAAAGCCGAGGGAGCTGGAGCAGCAGGATCCACGTGTCCAACTGCACAGCAGACCTTGAGATCAAGCCCCGAGCTCCAGGAAGTGGGAGCCACTGAAAGCAAGACATGAACTCTACAGTTTTCCAAATTAGCAGACAAAATGGTAAACATGGAGTTTCTCTTCTCTACGTTCATGTGACCATCACAAGTGAACACCAAGCCTGTGCTAGGACCATTTACCCTCTGACAATAGAGAAATTTATTCTCAATGGTACCTATGTGGACACACCTAGCAAAGAGGCATGACAGATACCCCACACGGGGGGTTGCAGGGTTGAACTTTCTATCTAACCTATGACGAAGGATTCATCAGTCATATACCATTAACCGTTCGGTTGCCTCTGCCCACGTAGGTTTTAACACACAGCTCAAAATCGGACCCATGGATTTAACCACTGCAAAAGGAAGGCTATTATGGAATTTCACCATGTCGAGTGTGTGGATGGTTGATAGGACCAGGAGAACAAAATTTATATTCAACAACTAAAACACCTGTTCTTTTGCATTGAAAAGATGATCCTTGTTACCATCACCAGTGGGAAATCAGCTTCTCCAAAATGTGCCACCGTGAGTTGCTGACCCTAGCCCTAGACTATGTGAGTCGTGCATCCTCTGTGTAGGTGTGCTATAGGCAGCTGAGTTAGATAGAAACTTTACGGGTGGTCAGACAGGGCTAGGCTCTTGGAGGAACCAGCACAGAGGACCAGATAACTTGTAACCTTGGAGGAGAAAGACACCTCCCCGCTGTGGGCCAGACCTCAAGACAAAGACAAAACAAATGCAACTACACCCTAAGTATATACATCAGAGATTAATATTCTAAATAGATATGGATCACGAGGGAGCCAGGAGTCACCATCCTAACCCTCTACAACCAAAGGCCCTGTTCTGTACTCACACCCACTTGCTATGCCTCCCCATTGGATCCTGATGTAATCAATTTTACCTGAGTTAATTACATTTGTAATCTCATTGGCTGACCATAGTTCTGTCCCACCTCATGCCCTCCTACCTTGCCAGTTCCTATTTACCCCCACTGTGGACCCGCCTCACCTTGTGGTTTTGCTCTATAGAAATTACTAGAAAAATCTGGGTCCTCGGCAACCCAGTAGGGACCCCTTCTGTCTCTCTGTCAGACAGAAGCTTTCTTTCTCTTCATAAAAATATTCTGCTCTTGACCTCCATTGTTCCTAAGATTCATTCTTTGATTTTAGAGAGCATGAACTCGTACCAGACATCTAGTAGGTTGGGAGTTTCTTCCCCTGTATCAGGTGGTCTGTATCCCCCAAAAGTCTCCTGTTCAGAGGTGAGGCTTTGAATGCTGATTGGATCCTGGGGTGCCGTAATCACCCTTCCTTCTCTGTCTTCCTCCTGGTTTCCACAATGTGAAAGGCTCCTGCCTTGGAGCCAGCTGACCCAGGACTGAAACTGTGAACAGAAACAAACCTTTCCTTTAAGTTGGGGTGTAGGGTATTGTGTCCCAGCGATGAGAAAGTGGCTATGTCATTGTGGTAGGCTGAGCCGGGAAGAGCTCAAGTTCAAAGCCAGCCTGGGCAGCTCAGTGACAGAGTGAAACCTTGTCCCAAAAATTAAAAAAACAAAAGGGAGTTGGGTGGAGCTCAGCGCCAAGGCCCTGGGTTCAATCGTCAGTACCCCCACATGCAAAGAGAACTGAAAGATTAGTGTAGCAGCTAAATGACCGCAGAGAGGAGTCTGCAGTTCCCACAGGAGGCAGCCAGCATCAGAGACTAACTGTGCTGGGCACCTGAGGGCCACTTTTGAGCTTGTATGGGACAGAACACTTGGGGGAGATGAAGATCGAGGAGTAAGCGGAGCAGCAAGAACAGCACTGGGCTGTGTGTGGGCTCTGTGTGGGTGTGGGTGCGGGAAGTGCCTTGGCTTGGAGGTTTGGAGATTTGGAGCTGCAGGCAACAGAGAGCAGCGTGCAGGCCCAGAGTCACCCTACCCAGGCTGCAGGATCCACACTCAGAGGTCAGCCCAGGTGCCTGGCTCCTGGGAGCCCCAGGACAGGAAAGAGGTCTGCACCGAGACTGGAGGCCCCTGTGTTAGGCCCTTGTCCTCTCTGAGACTCTATCTGCCAATGTGGGAAAGGAGTCCCAAAGTGGGGAGACTTGTAGTTACCCACAAAGCTACAGCTAGACATGGTCACCTCTGGACATCTCTGGCCTCTTTGTCCTCCCTGAGCCCTCTTGGGAGGCATCCACGCCACGTACTCATATGCCCACAGTGACCCTGAAAAGTGAGGATGGTGGTCACCTGCCACCACTGCTGGCAGGTCTTCCTGGCAGTGAAAGGCCTCCACTCTTAGTGACCACCCTGTCCCCCTTTTCCTGTCCCTGTGGGGATGCTGGGAATGCCAGCAGCCTCCAAACACACGCATGGAGCTTGATCTCCTGAGACCTGGGGTGTCATCCATCAGATCTGGTGCTCATAGGCAGCAGGCCCTGGCTACTTCCCCTGCACAAGGAAAACCTTCATGTGGCAGTCACCTCCTCTCCCCATCAGGGAACCCCCAATTCTGCAAAGAGGGGATGTATGCCTGGTACACTGTGCCTCTTCTCCTAAACAAACCCCAGGGTGCAGGCCTGTGTCTCATGCCAAACGAATTTGACTCAGAAGATGCAGGTGCTTGGCAGCTTTTTACCAGCAGTTTCTGGTCTGCCGCCCTGAGAATCCTTCCCTTAAATCAAAATGATCAGCCCTGGGAAGACAGAATTAGCCATAGCATGAGACACCTGCACCACAACGGGGAACAAGGGTGCCTTTGGAGGCCTATAGAAATAGGCAGAGGTGATGCTTAGGAAAGGGGCTGTGTCCTTGTGCTGTGGGACAAGGTGTCACTAACAGTGACACCCTCAGGAGCTCAGAACCCCATGCCTCACAGTCATGCTGCCCCAGGGTGACCCAGAGCGCAGCAGTCAAGGTCTCAGAGGGAGCCAGTGATTCAGGGAGAAACGGCACACCGGGTGCAAAGAGAAGGGAGCAGGTCTTGGGGAAGAGGCGAGGACCCCGCTCTGCAGATGTCCCCATCCAGCTGCTGTGTGATCCTTCCTGTCCCTCAGCCCTCCCTCCCCAGCTTGGATATCTGACACTTCAGCTGCTCCCACTGTGGTCCGTGCTTCCTAGGAGGGCTGCTCCCCGCACACACCCAGTGCATCCAAGGCTGGGACCCAAACTAGGTGTCCATGCTGCTCTGGCTCTGGGCGCCTGTCCCCCAGTCCCTAAAGTCTCCTGGAGAAGCTGCCTTTGCATGTTCATCCCCCACACACTGCAGGCTGAAAGCTAAGCCATCCCAGGGTCTGCACCAGGTGGGTAAGGGGCTGTCCTGTCTGTTTTGGGCCCTTGATATATAATAATGGCCCCAGGGCATATGTCTGTCCCTCTGCATCCCTCAACCCCTAGATTCCAGACCCCAGGGAAGCACCACAGGGTGTTTCAGGGATCTTAGACACTGGAATCCCACTGAGCAGGGGGACTGCCCATACCCTAAATGCACCCCTAGAAAACAACAGGGATGCTCAAGACAGAAAGCCAGGGAGCCCCAGACTCCTCCTGGGGCGAGGGGTAGGTCCAGTATCCCTGCCCCGGTTCTAAGTCACCTGACCTCCAGAAGCAGGTGACAGCCTTGAAGTCCTGAGGCTTGTCACCTAGGCCCCTGCCATAGCCCAACAAGGGACAGATGTGGGGACAGTGAGGAGTTTCACAGGCATCAAGGACAGGAAGGGAGAGTCCCCACCTAGTGTAGCAGGCAGGCAAGCCGGGCTCCACCTCCGGTGCTATGATCACCAGCTGAGGACTGAGACCCACTGTCCTCTGACCTGGCCAGGGAATTCAGGACATTGTCCCTGTTAGCAGAAAGAAGGAAAAAGCAAAGCAAAAGGCGGACAGGGCAGGTTTATTTCAAAACAAAGCGAGAGAGCCCACCTGGCCCTTAGAGCAGACTGATATCTCTGGTGCAGGCTGTGAGGTTTCTGATATGGTCAGGAGCACAAAGGGGGGCTGTGAAAGGAAAGGCCAGGATGGACTTCCAGGAGAGCAGGGAGAGCTCAGGGAGGAGAGGTGGCTGCCTGGCAGGAGCAGGAGTGAAGAGTGACGGGCAGTGGGGGTGTGGCTGTGCTCACCGGATGTTATGAACACCAATTGCACCTTCTTAGCAGAGGTGAAGGCATAGCAGGATGGAAGAGACTTAAAGGAGTCTCCGGCCAGCGAGGAGGGCGTGGTCAGACTCCTTCAGTCTCTGCTACCATTTGTGCTCCATGGACATGAAAGAGCTCAAAGGCGTCATTGGAGTCCCTGTTTTGTCTCTGAAAATAAAGATGGAAAATGGGGTTGGACAGAGCAGACAGAGGAGGAGGGAGAGGGGACGGGGGGGGGAGAAGGATGGAGAAAGGGAAGGAGAGAGAGAGAGAAGGAAAAGGGAGCAAGACAGGGAAGGAGAAAAGGAAGGAAGAAGGGAGAGGGGAAGGAAGGAGGGAAGGAAGGAGAGAAAAAAAGAGAGGGAGAAGGTAGGAGGGAGGGAAGAGGGAGGGAGAGGCTCTCCCACAGCCCTGACACTGAACCTCATCTTCCTCCTGCAGGGTTCCCAGCCACAGCTTCAAAGTTAGGGAAATCCATGCTCCTGATCAAGGCACAGACTGGAGAGAACTGCAGACTGATTGGTAGGGTGAGGGAAGGATGCCTGGAGTACCCCACGGATCATGGAAGTGCCTGCCACAGCACAGGCCCTGGGCACAATGCTGGATGGCTCTGGATGCCTGGCAGTCTTTAGACTGGACTTACCTTCTTGCTACCTAGTTACCCCTATGGGCAGCAGAGTTCACTCCAGCCCTCCACTGAGCATGGGGACCAAGATCATATCAGAGCGCCCTCCTGTCCCCTGGCTCTACCTGCCCTCCTAGGACCAGAGGAGGCCATCAGTCTCCTGCCCCTGGCACTGCAGCATCCAGGGAGCAGCTGGTCCCAACACCCCTCCCTGGCTGCTGGGGGTCCATGGGGTCTCTAGGTCTCTGGGGAAGGAGTTGAGACATTCAAGCCTGTCCCTGACCTCATCTGGGCCCATATTTGGGTCACAGCAGAGCCTTGCCCACCAGCTTAGACTCCCTGCCCTTGCCCATGGCAGGTCTTCCTCAGCTGTCCCCAAGTGTCCACCCCATAGCCCAGTGTGCCTGGGAGACTTGCCCAGCAGTCTCGGGCTTACATAAAAACATCCACCTGGGAAAAGACCCCCGGCCAGTGGCTACAAGGTGTCCTCCAAAGCTCTTCTGTGCACAAAAAACCAATTGAGCCTTCAGGGGTCTTGGTGAGTGGGTCCATGTGGCCATATGGTGTCCGTCAGATGGGAATGTCTTTCCCTCCATCAGTGCATGACCATGCCTCAGAAAACCTCCCTGCAGGGCCCAAGCCACCGTGTGCAGTGGGATTTCCTGTCAGACCACACAGATGGGAGAAGCAGACAAGAGGAGTGGAAAAGGTGTCCTTAGCTGACCTGTCAGACTAACACTGCTGCCAGGCCTGCGGTGGTTGAAGAGAAGAAGGTGGACTCATTCTCCTCCAAGTTTGCCTTTATCTCTCTCTTCAGTGTTCTCTGAAAAAGGAAAACAACATCTTTCAAATGCAGGGTGACCTTCATTTTTCCTGTAACTCATACTACGTAGACTAAAAGATCCAAAATTAAAGTTGCTCCGGGGGACATTATAACATTGCGATTGAGGCAGCCTGGAAAGAACAACTCCCACATTCTTCTCTGTACCTGGCACCATCCCCTGGGTCTGACAGGAACCAAGTGGATGACAGTGTCTCCAAGCCCCCATGCTGGGCCCCAAACTTCTGCAGCCCCCTGTGAGCCTATCCAGTGCATCCTTGGGGTCACTTTCCGAGCTACCCCAGCCCCTGCACCACTGCTCCTCCCTTAGATGCCACTCACCCAGCATCTTGTCTGTCTAACTGCAGGTTTTCCCTCCTCGAGGCAGCTCCTACAGGATACAGACCACATTCCATTCATGTTAACAACAATGAACATTAACTAGTTTTACCCTAAGTGAGTTTTGCCACTAAGCACTTGATTTGTATTCTCATTGGAACCACAGCACAGTCTTTAGTCTACAGATGAGGAATCAGACAGAGAGAGAGGGAGAGAGGGAGACAGAGAGAGCGATTATGCCCAGGGGCATGCAGCCAGGAAGCCACTCAGCCAGGGATGAACCCAGGAAGAGCCCTGACCCTGGGCAGCAGCGTGCAGAGCACCTGGCCTTGGCAGTGGATGACCAAAAAGGCAGTTATGTCTGCAACGCTGATGGCACTGGCGCTCTGTCATCAGAGCTAATGTCTGGGAAGAGGACTGGCTCACACACATTGGCAATTTCCCTCAGACGAGGTCATATATCATATTCTCAAATGGGACTTGTGGCAGATTCACAAGCACCTTTGAGGAGGTGACTAATGGAGGTCCAGCCCCAGGAGCCAGACTGAATACAGAGGAAGAGGTTCCCAGAGGGCTGATCTCCAGACGCTGTAGGAATGGAAAGAGCTTGGCGCCTGGAGTCAGGCTGGCGCAAGGGGAAAGAGAATGGAAAATCGGATTCTGTGAGTTACGGAACCATCCCTTCCTGCATGCGTGAGTCACAGAGAAGTAGTCATACTGAGGACAGGAGTAGGTAAGGACGGGGCCCCTGCCACCTGAAAAGTCACTCTTTTGTTGAGTCTATTTTCACCTGGAAGCAAAACCATCAGCTGCAGGTGGAGTCCAGATGTACTGACCAGCATTGCTGCACGGAAGCCATGCTCTGCGGGAGTCTTGATGGACAGAAGTTGTGTAGCATGGATGTTGTAGTGGGAATCACGATGAACAGAAGTCATGATGAACAGGATCTATAATGAAGAGATTCGTGATGGAATTCATAAGGGATTCATGATGGAAATCACCATGAAGGTCATGTCATGAACAGCAGATGTCACAGTGGACAAATTAGTGATGGAAGAAACCACAATGCATGAAGGTAAGGTGGCAGGAAGTCACAGTGAGGTCATGATGGACAAGGTCATGATGGATGGAAGTCATGAAGGACAGAAGAAGAACTGACACAGAGAAGTCAGTGTGGAACAGTCACGGTGCACAGAGCCATGATGGAAATCACGCCATGTGAACTTGCTGCTCTGGTCCTGCCTGTCCTCTCAAAGCTACTTGCCTTGGTCCCAAGCCTCCTCTTTCCCCTGGACCCTCACATATTATAGTCCAGCCACCCCAAACACATTGGATCCTTCAAGCACACCAGGCTTTATGCCTCTCTACCTTGACACTGGCCATTTCCTGCACTAGAAACCCCCTTGCTTCCTCTTCTATCTGACTTTGCTGACTCAAGGTGAAGTTTCAATATGGAAGTCCTTCAGTCACATTTGTTTGCCCTCCACAGCACCTTGACCCTAACGCCCCTGTGTTACCAACAAGCATCAGTGTTGCCTTCTTCCCCGAGTGCTGCTGTGTAGCAAAACTAGAAAAAAGACCCAGGCTTCCCATCAGGCAGCAGGAGCATGTGTCTGTCACAGAGCAGCAGACTCACACCGCATCTTGATAAAATAAATGTACAGTTGAATACTCTACTTACCTACTTCCCAGCTTGGAAAGCAGGATCAGGGTATGGGGCCTTGCCTTGCACTGTTTTTTCAAATCCCCTTTTTTCTCCCCCTGGAAGTCACTATCCTTTTGAACTACAAAAGCTCTTTGTCCTTCATAAAACAGGTGCCTATAATATCACAGTGCACTTTGTGAGCAGGGGTGCTCAGGAGAAATGAGTGTTCCTCCATCTTGTGACAGCTTTTCCTGATAATGAACAGGGAAGCCAGCAGACCCTGAGACCCACAGGCAGCCCCTTGTAGGAACATGCAGGTTTTGTTCCAGGGAGTGCTGCAGGAAGGAGCATATAAGAAAGACAGAGATGGACAGCCTTCCGAGACCAGAATTATAGGTCAATGAAGAGTTGTGGAGCTGTTCAAGACAAGACACACACACACACACACACACACACACACACACACACACACACACGAAAGCTAATTAACCTGAAGGCATGGCTTCCGATTAGAAACTTGAATGCACACACAAACCACCAGGCTGACAGCCTGCAGAGGAGGCATCATAACTAGAAAAACTGGAACAAATCCTGGAGATTGGAAACAGGCTGGGAAGCCCAGTCTCTGGGCCCCTTAGAGCCCAAAACGTGCTCTGCAGCTCTGATGCTATCAGCTCTATCTTTGCCTGAAGCTGAGATGCGAACACCACCTAGGAACACCCACATGCAGGCCAGAGTCCACGGTGCAAGTCCTTCCTGAGCACCTGCTGACAAAGTGACCTCTGAAACCACTCAACCTCCCACTAAGTCCCAGTGTAACTCTCTACTGGCCACTAGGCAGGGCCACCAGTAGGCCGAGCAACTCTCTGCTGCTATGATATGAACAGAGCCACCTGGTCACTCTGAAAGGTCCCACAGTGGGATGCAGTGCAGAGGACAAGAGCTTTGGAGCTGAGCAGAGCCCCATGTGAGCCAACCCTGTCACTGTGCACTTCTTCCTAAGAAGGGAATACCGTACCAGGACTAGTGTGGAAGATGCTGAGGTAGTGTCTCATAGGTGACACCAGAAAGTCTGGACAGCTCCCTGTCCTTTTCCTTCTTTTCCCTGATGGAAGCCTCTGGTGGCAAAGATCATCAAGAAGAGTCACCCTTGCTGGGTCTGGGAGAATAACATTAGCGATGGGTGGGGGGACTCAGTGAAGAAAATGAAGCCCAGTGACAGAGACCCAGGAAGCCACAGTTTTGTGTACGTTCAGGGTTGTGAATGTAGGGGACAAACGAGGAGGTGAAATGGTCCTTGGAGGTGCAGCACCAGAACCAGGGCCTTGTGGGTTTATGGTGGGGTCTGGTACCCAGAATGCTGGGTCCTGTGCAGCTTCTATGGCTCTGATCCTTGCTCTTGATAGCATGACCACTCGTGGCCCATCTCAGCCCACCTGAAGGCCACATCTCTTTCCCTGTGGGGATTTCTTGTTCATCTCTTCAGCTCCGTTATTTTGTCCTGGCAGTACTTTATCGTATACATGCTTGCATGTTCTGCTGGGTCCATAGATTTCCAGATCTAGAGTGGAGTCCTGAACATTATGGTAGGACTCAAGGTCTGTTAGACATGGTCTATAAGGCAGGTTCAGTTGTGTATTCCACAGTGTACTTAATACATGTGCAAAAACCAAACTCATCAGCCCAAATCTGTACCAGCTCCCCAGGCCTCCACCTGGAGCCAGCCCCTACCTGGTGTCCTCATCCATCTTTGTGAGCCTGCTACTGCTACTGCCACCCTGGTTAGAAGCCCAGCTCTTTGTCTCTGTTTCTGTCTCTCTGTCTCTCTCCTCATGGCTCCCTGCTTCCAGGTCTTTTTGCTTCATAACAAAACACCAATGCCTAACCTGGTTTATGCAGCAAAAACATGAACTTCTTTTCACAGCTTGCAAAGCCACCCCTGGACAGACCTCTCTTTTCCCTGCAGCAGCAACTCCTACTGTACCCACCATAACTGTCAACCCTAGTAATAAGGAACTACAGGTCCCTGTCCCTCCCTCCATCACTCATGCCTGGAACACTGTCCCCTTAGGCTCTTCCTGCTCCCCTTCCCTCACTGGCCACTTCCTCCTGGAATTCACCCCCTGAATGGTCAGCAGAAAGCATCCTGAGACCCCCATGCGATTGACTTCACTTCTACAGACATATGAAGTCAGAGCCCACCCAGCTCAACTGTTGCATTAAAAAGTGTGGGATTCTCCTCTGTGACTCACTTTTAGGACTGACTGGTTCTACGTCTGTTCCACATGCATCCTTTCCTCCTGAGAGCAAATTTCAGGAGTGAATAAAAACTATCTGATGAGCCAGAACTAGAGCTGTGAGCCAAATCCAGAAGACCATGGTCCACAGGGCACTGTAACACCACATGTGGCCCGGCAGTCTCCATCCACCTGTCTTACGCCATGCTGAGTTAGGAGCTGTCTGAGAAGGAAACCTGAGCTGTCATCTCTGCATCGTTGGATGCAGTCCTTCTGTATCTCATGGAGCAGTCACACATCTGTACAAGCTTAGAGGCAACAAAACTGTCACTTCTTCACTAGAACTTGCATTTCCTCTTTGCATCCTCCTGGAGACAAGAGGAGAATCAATTCCACCCCAGCAACACTTGATCTGGGACTGCCCTCAGTCCATTAGCAGAATTTCCATCTGTGCCACTTCCCTGCTGGGTGACTCAGTTGGGGCACTGGCATTTCTAAAAGGGTGGCCTCAGAATTCTGATAATAGTACCTTCAAACAACTCTGTCCTCCTCCCAGTCTACAGGTGCCAGGCTCGAAATCCAAGAGTGATGACCATATTGGCCCCAAGGCCCAGTTCCATCTCTGCCCTGCATTCTACCCATGATTACACAATTAATATCTGAACACAGTTCAGACACTGATGCTGAAGGCTCAGTCCTTGCAGGATTCATTAGGCTTTGTTGCTCCTAGCAGCCCCTTAATTTCCAGCCATACCCTGTCCTCTTGAAAAACAAAAGTTATTATCTGTAATAATTACATAGTTCACTTGTTTAATGCAAAGTAGATTTGTCTGACTTCCCCAGCTAAACATAGTTTCACCTCCTGAGGATGCTTTGGAGGTCCCAGTATGGCCCTTTGGGACTCTTCAAGTTTCCACAGTTCCAAGCTGTAAAGGAGGTCCACTTAACCAAATCCAGAGTCCCTCTTCTGTCAGGAAGTCCATCTCTCAGCACGCTTTGCAAAGCATGTTTGGTGCAATGTCCCTTCCGATTCACTTGGAAGAGGCAGTGGGAAAGAAACATTCCATGACCAAGATGGGGATTCGGTTAACCAATTATACACACGTACAGAATTCGACACTTATCAAAGACGCAGCATGCAGTTTGAATATCTAGGTAGTCAGGGAACAGGAAAGAGCTCTTTCCACACTGTCCTGACCCCAGAACCCCTTGCCCTGCCCTGGGGCTAACTGTCTGGGTACTGCTGTAGGACCCTCCTGGCAAGCAACCTGTTGAGCTTGGAAACCTATGCAAGGGCAGCAACAATACCTCTTCCTTCTCCCCCAAGGGCAGCTCTTGCAACAAAAGGAAACAACTCATTCATTCATTCATTCATTCATTCATTCATTTCTTGATCCATTCATTCTTCCTGTGCTTAGTCAGCAAGGAGACTCCTCTGGAAGCTGCCCCTGAGTATGTGCACGTAGTTTACCCAGGAAGTGTTTCCAGAGGAAATTTGAGCAAGGGCAGAAAATGACAAGGAGAAAGCCAAGCCCAGGATGCCCTGGGAGTCACCTGAAGAGGGCGCTCAGCTGCCAAGCTGAGTGCTCTGCAGGATGGGGTACACCTGCTTCTCCTAGGTATTGGGAGAGACACGCACATTTCTACCTTAGCATGCTGTGTGAGGTTGCAGAGTATGATAGTGGGTGGAGTAAGATTTCTCAAGGATTTTTCAGCTGCATCAGAGGCAGAGAGGGCAGATTCACAAGCCCTAGGCAGCCTTTGGAAAAACACAGAGCAGAGACAGCATGAGGCTCCAGGGCACTGTCTGTCCCGGGATCCCAGGTGGAGCAGGGGAACCTCACTCCAGAACCACCATTGCCTGCCCTGTCTCCTTGACCTGTCTGTGCTCCACAGCTGTTGCTTTGGACCTTGCCATGCCCTTGGCCTCGTCTTATCCTCTGCTCAGGGCCCCTCCTCAACTGGCCAAACCTCCTAAGCTTCCCAAGCCCCTACGTCTTCTCAGGTCACCTCAGCACAGAATCTGCAATGAGGCACTGAGTCTGTGTCTTTGGGGGAGCGGTGCATGAATGAGGGCAAAATAGAAAGACTGCAGCATGCCCTGTCCCTTGCAAAAGCCTCCAGCAACTCCTTAGGACAGAGACATACATGCCTGTTAATCCCTAGAAGGTCCTGGAGATGGGACTCTGGACTTCAGGTTCCAAGTTCCCATTTGCTGCAGGACCTTGGCCAGCAACTTAACACTGTATCTCTTCTCTCATATGCAAATAAAGTGTTAAACAGGTTGATGCATCAGCTGCAGTGCTTAGAAGAGCAAAACCTCCTTGACCATTATCATTCTCACCATCTTAGATGAACAAACACCAAAAGCAGACAGAGAAATGCGCCTGGGCAGCATCTAAGGCGATGCCTGGCTCCGGCACACAGTGGGCAATCTCTGGGGGAGTACTTATCTTCCCTCGAGCCCTCCTCTATGTCATCAGACAGCTGCATTCAGTAATTCAGTTTGGGGACCCCAAAGATTAGCTCATTTCCTTCCATTAGCATTTTTCAGAAACCTAAAGAACATGGCCAGAACACATGGGGCTGCCCCAGGTCCTGAGGAGGGGTGGCCTTATCAACACCATGCTGTTACCTTGCAGTCCACAGTCACAACCATTCGTGGTTCTGTCCAGACAGGAGAGAACCTCCAACTCACATCCCTGTCCAAGAAAGCTCTGAGAAGATTTTGGAGTGGCAAATAAGACACTGGGCAGTGATTGGAAGTCTTCAAGTCCCTAGTTGGGGGCCTGGACACTCCCCTGGCCTGGGGTCCCCTGGAGGAGACTCATCCCTCGGTACCAGCTTTCCCCGCAGAGGAGCTTTGGGAGACACACAGATCACATCAAGCAGACAACAGGAGAAGGAGCAATTCCTCAGGGTTCTGACAATACCTGGACCTCTGAGGTCTCCTCAGAAGTGGCTTTAAGAGAACTCATGGTGGGTCCAGGTCACACACAAGACTCCGTGCTTCTTCTTCTTCTTGCCAAAGTTTTTGACCACATGTTAGGCACCCAACACAATTCCAGTTGCTGGGAATGCAGCAGAGAACAGGACAACTCCTCTGCCTTCCCAGGGCTGATAAGGGAAAGAGGATAGGCAGGGAGTGGACAGCAATCCTCACCAGGCTCCACATCTGAGTTGGTGGGGAGCTGAGAGAACCATGACAGACAGTGATAGGGTCTAGGGGAAAGGCCTTTCCCCTGAGCTAGGAGGTGAGATGGAGCCAGAGGGAAGAGCCCGCGGAACATCTGGGAGGGGCAAGGAACAGGAAATGACCGGACTTGCAGGTCAGGAAGAGGAGCCCAGGTCTCCCTGAGCATGGGATTAGAGACCAGAAGTGCTCTCAGCAGAAGAGCGAGGGCTGCAACTTGGAGAAAGCTCATGGCCCCAGTGGAGAAGGACGGGGGTGGATGTGATTGACATGGAGGAGCAGTTCCACATCCTCCAGGGCATCCTCAAGGCATGCGATGGTGGTTTCTACCAGGGGCAGCGTCACAGATGGAAAAAAGCTGGTGATTTGAAATATTGAGGTCAGCAGACACGGCAGTGGTGGGTGGATCTGAACTCGAGAGTGACAAGAATATTTTTGTTTGCTGAGCCTACAGGATGCTGAGCCCAGCTGCAAAAACAAGGCAGCCTGTAGAAGAGAAAGCCTGCCTTCTTTGGGGGTGAGAAGGTGCATGGATCTGTTAAAACAGGAGAGGAATTTGTTGGTTTTCAGAAGTAGATACGAAGGAGCCATGGAGAGGCCACATGCCCTGGGGACTGTGACGGGAGCAGGGGCAGTCTGGCTCCAGTCTCCTTTCTCTGCCTGGATCGGCAACCATGGGCACTGAGTCTCTGTGTGACCTTGTGCCTTGCTCTGGTCTGTGTACTCACACAGAGATGCTGTCCCTGTAAAGAGAGATGATGGTCAGCACCTGAAACCTTGAGATGGAGCAGCCATGTTCTGGGGGACATGCTCAACACAATTGCAACATAGGATGTGACCCATCCTGTGTCACACAAGACCAAGAAAAGGGGGAGATGGCTTTTTTTTAAAGAGAAAGAAGCCCATGAGAAACAATGACATGTCAGGAGTGGAGGAAGAAAAAACCAGATTCTAGTGGAGCTACAGATTTAATATGATAAAAAAAATCAAGAATCAAGACATCAGGGTTGCTGCTGAACCTTGCTAGATTGCAGTTTTCTTGTCTATGCAAAGAAGAAGGGAAAAAGTACCCCCAACACCAGATTAAATTCTGCACCCACAGCAGTTAATACATAGCATGAGCCTAACAAAGGATGAGCCCCATGTTATGCTGGCTATTTTTATGACTGTAATTGTCTATTTTATAATGCTCTTCAACAATAGTGAGGAAATGTTTTTGTTTCCCCCTGACAATCCTCAGTCCTACAAAACATTGTTTCTCAGTGAGCTCACTGAATAATAAATACCCAACCATGCTCCCCCTCACTGTGAGGCCAGCTCTGTTTCAGGTCACTCATAATGAGGTAAGAGATCCAGAGGCCCTCCTTCCAGAAGGTTCCATCTGAGAGTGCACATGGCAGGCCAAGGGCTCTCGGTTTCCTCCTGGCTCTGGCATGGACACAGAGGACATCCCCACTGACTTTGTCCCCAGAGGGCTGCTGTGCAGAGGAATGAGAGAAGCCAATACTGATGAAGGACCTGAGCCAGCCCGTTCTGTGATTGACAGGTAGAATGAAGCTAAGTCTCCATGACAACCCAGACAGGTGGGAATTGTGCTCTCCATTCACAGACAAGGAGGCCAGGGTTGAGTCAGGAAGCCCCTGCGGAGCTGGAGTTGGGTAAGCAGTAGAACTCAGATTCAAGTCAGGACGTTCAGCTGGAAGGCAGTGGAGTCCTCAATTTGACACAGCTTTCATGGGCTGTGGAAGGAATGCTCTTGGTGACATAGTAGTGGACTCAGTGGCCGCTCCCAGAGCTGAACACCAGCAGAGGACACAGTCAGACCCTGGGGTGATGCACATGGCCAGGAGCACAGAAACTGGAGTATGAGAGGCTCCAGAAGTCTTCCTCTTTAAGAGGATGGTTTTCAAAAGTAAAGCTAAGCTCCTTTTAAAAAGAAATTGTAAGCCACTGGTGATGATCCCTTCCTGTAACTGTAGACCTCTGGAAGGCTAAACCAGGGGGTCGCAAGTTCCAGCCCATCCTGGGTAACTTAGTAAAACTTAGTGACTTAGCAATGTCTGCAGATGGAGCTCAGTGTGAAGGCCCTGGGTTCAATCTCCAGTGCTGCAAAAGAAACAAAGAAGAGAGAGAGAGAGAGAGAGAGAGAGAGAGAGAGAGAGAGAGAGAGAGAGATTATAATAGTACATGGAACAATGGAACAGACCCCTGAAAATGTGTATTTAACATATAATGAGGCTCAGGTACAGAATGGCCTCATTCACCCAAGAGAAGCAACTGGACCCTTTGGCCCTGGGCAAGGCTACACCCACCTCAGAAGCTTGGTGTCAAGGGCAAGAAAGGGGACTCTCATTTGGAGGCAGTGCTAGAAGCCAGAGTCACAGGCCCATCCCAGGTGAGTGACACAGCTGTCTCACTGAGTTTTTCTCCTTACCTGGCTTGCAGGATTGGGTGAGGAGAGCCATGCACACTCAGCTCCTCTGTGCAGAGGTGTGGGGAGCTGTCGGCAGATACACCAGGCAGTCCTAACTCTCTCAATTACAGAGCCTGAGCTTGGTACCTTAGAAGACAACAGTCACGGGCAGTTTGCAGACCAACTGCCGAGTCACCAGCCCATAGGAGTTTCCTTTATGACTGGCAGGCATGGGGAGGTGGCCAGACAGGCTCCCAAGTGCTGACCTGGGTCATCATGTAATCTGCTTTCCAAAATCCATTTGCAGCAGGTCCAGTGGGCAGCTCTGCCTCTACTGGGCTGACCCGTGACAGCTCCCAGGTTGCAGGCAGCCTCACTTCACTGACCTGGTTTCCCCATAATCTCCCTGCGGCAATGACCTTATTTAGGCGATAGGATCTTGGGATGTGAGTAACCAGAGGACAACCATCTGAGCAGGACAGATAGCGAGTATATTGCCAGTGATGCCATGGGACAACTTCTCATCTCATTTTTTTCTTTAGATCAGAAAGAGGGAGAGAGAGAGAGAGAGAGAGAGAGAGAGAGAGAGAGAGAGAGAGAGAGAGAAGATCCCAGATCTTGCAATACATGGAGGCTTAGGCAAAGCACACCAGGGCGTCCTGGGGATGCAGAGAGCTCCCTGTCTTTAAGAGCCACACTGCACACAAACACCCGCAAGACACAGAGCAGGCTCTTCCAGAGCCTGGGAAGAGGCATAGGGGGCAGGCGGAAGTCATTTCTGGCACAGAATTGGTACAGACACCCAAGGGGCATGCTGGGTGCTGCTCCCAGGAACTGGAAAAACTCCTTGTGGTCTTCCTGCATGCCTCCAATCCACCCACCCTGTGAGCAGGACGCAGGCTTTTGGGTTTGCAGGTGCTGGGAATACGTGCCTAGGAACTTTCCCACATCTGAGGAAAGACTCCCTCCCAAGCTTCTCAATGGCAATCCCTACAGGAAACAAAAAGCCAAGCTCTTGTCTTGGAACTATGGCTCCCAGCATCTTTGGGGCTACCCCCAAGTTATCATGCTTGTGGACCTGGCATGCACCACCCTGAAAGCAATGAACAGACAAGTAGCTTTCAGCCTGATTGTAATCATCCAAAACTTTCCATGTGACCTGGGCTTGGCATTTATGGAGACGACAGCAAGCTCCTCCGCCCAGTGGGCATGGGGCAGGTTATATGGGCAAACTAGCTTGGAAATGAAAGGGGTGGATAGAAACAACCCAGGCTGCGATGTGGAAGAATGGCCATTGCTTGCTTTGCAGAGGCTCTCAGGCTTCTTGCTCTCAACCAAGGGGGAAAGTGTGCATTCTACAGCAACTGCATCCCAGGGCAGGGATGGTGTGGTGCCATCCCATCCACAGCGGGCGGTAGCCCCTTCCCCAGGTTCGGAGGCCAGAGTCCCTGCCTTTCTTCAAGGACATCACCTCCCCATGGCCGCTTTCTTTCTCTGTGGCTCAGCACATGTGCACAGGGGCTCAGTAGGCAGCCAGGACCTGCACACCACAGGGCTTTGCATCCAAAGCTGCGGACCAAGAGTCAAACACAACAGCACTCCTCAGTCGGAAGCCCTGTGTGTGCAGAGACAGAACGGAGCTGTCTGCTGCTCAGCTCAGGATTTATGAGCTGGCAGTTCAGCTGCACAGACCCGGCAAAGAGAAAGGGAAAGAGAAATACATGCTCAGAGCAGGCTTCCTGTAAGAAACACACATGCCCAGAGCAGTCTTCATCTGAATCAAAATTCAGAATCTAGCAAGGCGTCCAGTTGTCAAGATCCTGGTCCCCATTCTAGCCAGGCCTCCATCTCAAAAGCCTTTTACCTGTGGTCATTTATAATCATGGCTTCAGCAAGTGGATATTTATCAACATCAGGAAAGCCATGTCCTTGGTCGAAGGTAATGGAATAGAGGAAGTTGTGTTCCCACAGAAGGTAAGCTTGGGGCTTCCTGTTCACCCAGACTGCTGTGGGTGTGGGCTCCCTCACTCACCAGCAAGTCAGTAGTGAGATGGAGAATTACTCCAGCTTTTCCTGTGGACCAGGGTCTCAGCTTTGCCATTTTCATCTCCCTCTTCTTAATGAGGCCACTAATAAGGCCTGGCTTCCAAACACCTGTTAGGCTTGGTAGAAGACCCGGGCATTTATGAATGCTGTTATTTCCTAGTTGGAGAGGAGGAACTCTAATGCTTGTAGAGTGGCCAAAATGCAAAGCCCTGTTTATTGAACCTGCTCAGGGCACACACTTGTATGTGCCACTGGCATCGGCGGTCCCTTTCTTTCATGTCCCTCTTCTCCCTGGAATGACACAGTGACAGAGTCAGCTAGGGGGGGGCACCTGCTGTTGCCCTACTTTGAAGATGAGCAAACCATGCTTCAGCCCCACGCTGTGATTCCCACAAGGTCAGAGAACTGATGCAAAGAAGAAGCTTGGCACAGATCTCAGCTCCTCTCAGTAGCCACTCACTGTTCGGGTCCCATTAGCCCTGTCCCCTTGGCTGAACTGCTGCTCAACACAAATTCCTGGACCAACAAGCACAGAGCAACCAGGAGCTCAGTGTCCATGGAAAGACACACAAGTATACACAGTGATCAGAATGTACGGTGAGTGTTAAAAATGTCTCACCACCCCCACCCCAGCTTCAAACACACTCATCCCATCATCCTCGCCACTTTCTGCACACAGCTCTGGAGTCCTGTTTTCTGAAGGTCTCTACCAAGTGGGATCCATACCAGTGAAGGCTGCTGCCTAGTGGCACTCCATAGAAAGTCAGCCTTGTAAAATGTGACCCTAAGTCCTCAACTACCTTATTCACAATTCTGGCTCTTCCTGAAAATCAAAATGCCCAGGAAAGGGAAATATTTTCAGGGGATTGAAGACATGCAGGCAGCCAGGACAGCACAGCTAAAGACCCTCAGGAAAGAGGATTCCAGAGCTGCTTCAGGAAGCAACAAGGATGCTGGGATGAGTGTATTCAAAGTATGTGTGTGGGGTGTGGGATTCATGGTGAGGCAACTTTGACCAAAATAAACTTTTCTACTTTAACCACTTAGTGGAGTTTCAATCACACTTCAGTAATGAACTGACTTCTACCAAGCCCACCCAGGGACTTCCAAAGCCATTGCTGAGCAGGGGAAGAGATGTCGAGAGCTTTGCCTCTTTGTCACCACTGAGTGACTGGCAGACACAAAGGCCCCTGGAGAAGCCATGCTTGGGGGCTGAGAACACAGCACTTGGCATTGAGGGCTTCTGAGGGATGACAACACCACAGGAAGGACATGCAATGACACCAGCTATACCAGCTCCGTTAGAAGGCTCAATGGGAAAGCCTACCCTCTAGAGTTAAACTTCTCCTGGCCCCTAGGGTCCAGTATAAATGAATGCTCCTGAGATCTGCTCAGTCTCTGAAACTCCACAGTGTACAGTCCCTAGGGAGAGAGGCAAATGCATCACAGACATGGTGATCACAGTAGAAGCTGCCACACAAGACCAAGGTGCACAGACTCTGCCACCATTTTCCTAACTCTAGTCTGAGGTGAGAGGAAACCTTTCAGTGCAGTGTCCCAGGGAATTAATGTGCAAAATGTGACAGATTATTGCTGGAAGTGATGGTTCTGATGTCACCTGGCCCACACTCTAGTGCTGAACAGCTAGGAAACATAAAGTGGCACTAAATTTTTATTCTTAAAAAAAATACATTTAAGATGGCTCATTTCATTTCATCCAGGACACATTTTTTGGAAGCATCTTCTCCCTTGGTCACTGTATTAGTCATTTTCCCATTGCTGGGGCAAAATTCTGGCATCCATGATTTAAAGGAGAGGTTCATTTGGTTCACGTTTCCAGTGGGTTCAGTCCATGGTCAGCTGGATCCATGGTAGAAACAGAATGTCAGGAGGCATGGTGGAGGAAAGTTTTTCACTCCAAGGCAGCCAGAAAGCAGGGAAGGAAGGGAGGACCTAAGGATGAGGCTGTACCCTTCAAGTCACACCCTAGCAATCACCTCCAGCAAGGACCCACCTCCTAACAGCACATTCAACATTCAGCTGTGAACGCATCATGGATGAATCCACTGGTGAATACAGCACCCCATGATCAAGTCACCTTCCAAAAGCCCAGCATCTGAAAACATGAGATTCTGGGGAGACAGTGTAAATCTAAACTGTAAAAGTTCTGCTGGATGAAGGCTCTATCTTAGCAACTTTGGTTCTGCTGAGGGCCATTCTATGTGCTATGGCTTGTGTCCAGATGTTCCAAATCTCATGAGGTAAGAGGTGGCTAAATCAAGAGTGTATGATGCTGCGATTAATTATGTGATGCCAGGATCCAGGGTGTGTGATTACTAAATTACTCCACTGATCGGTTTGGGCATGGATAATGAGAAGGACCTCCATGGATGTAAGTGCTATCTTCCCTAAAGATGTGTGGCCTGGACAGAATAAAAGAGACAGAAATAGGGCTGCTGGGATACTGTTGTTTGCTGCTTTCTTCATGCCATGAACTATTTCTCCTCTGTAATACCTCTGCCATGCCACCCTGCCTTGGAGATGCCAGGACTGAAACCTCTACAAACTGTGAGCCAAAATTAACCTTTATTCCTCTAATTTTGGGTGTCAGGCATTTTGTCTCAGCAACAAGAAAAGTAACTAAGACACTGGCACTCTCATCTTCCTCTTCCTGCTTTTAGGAAAGTCATAGGAAGTTTCTGAGTAGGACACAGTCAGGCTAAGAGTGGTCTCTGTCCTGTGCCCAGCTGCTGCCTTCCCCCACATCCATCTCTCCCTTTCCATCTCCTGAGGCCGTAGAGCTGGTAGTGGAAGCTTTCACATCCTGCTTCCATATTCATCAATCCAGGCTCAGATAGCCTTCTGTGATGGGGCTATCCCATGGGCTGTGGAGACCAGACAGCTTCTCAGGCCTCTGCCTGAAAGATGATAGTGACCTCTCCTGCCAGGACTCTCACCAGGTTATGAGGCAAGCCTGCCCCATGATGTGGCTCATGAGGAACCTGTATCAGAATTCCTAGGGGCAGGCTGCTGAAAATATAGTTTCTTAGACTCCATCACAAAAATCCTGTGCTCATCTCTGGAAGTTAGAGCCTGTGATTCCACACTCAAAAGAAAAGAACAGAGGTGGTCAGCATCACTATGAACCTGAGGAAGCTTCAGTTTGGGTTCTCAGTACTAGTGACACTGCAGGGAAAGAATTGGGGGTAGTTATGAGGTTAGGCCCCCCATTCCCAGGTGCAGACTAGCCTGTGTACTATAGTACACAGCTGTACTGCCAGGACAGGAAAGGGAAAGCCACCCCAGAG